TTCTAGTGCATTTAGGACCTTGTCGTAGTGATCCAATAGTTGAGACAGACAGGAGCGACCTGTTCTAAACCCATGTTGCCCTGGGTTGTGTAACTGATGGGTTTCTAGATGGGTGGTGATCTGGCTTCTTAGGACCCTTTCAAAGATTTTTATGATATGGGACGTTAGTGCTATCGGTCTGTAGTTCTTTGCTGTTGCTTTACTGCCCCCTTTGTGGAGTGGGGCTGTCTGTTGTTTTTAGTAACTGTGGGACGACCCCGTGTCCATGCTCCCTCTCCATAGGATGGAAAAGGCTCGTGATAGGGGCTTCTTGCAGATCTTGATGAACACGGAGTTCCAGGAGTCTGGCCCTGGGGCAGAGTGCATGGGCATGTCATTTATCGCCTGTTCGAAGTCATTTGGCGTCAGGATAACATCGGATAGGCTTGTGTTAACCAAATTTTGTGGCTCTCTTATAAAAAATTCGTTTTGATCTTCAACTCTGTCTGGTTAGCGGCTTGCTAAAAACTGAGTCATATTGGGACTTGAGTAGCTCACTCATTTCCTTGCTGTCATCTGTGTAGACCCATCTTGTTTAAGTAGGGGCCCAATACTGGATGTTGTTCTCGACTTTGATTTGGCATAGAAGAAATACTTTGGGTTTCTTTCGATTTCATTTATGGCTTTTAGTTCTTCCCGCGATTCCTGACTCCTATAAGATTCCTTTAGCTTGAGTTCGATGCTTGCTATTTCTCTGACCAGTGTCTCCCTACGCATTTCAGATATATTGACCTCTTTTAGCCGCTCTGTTATTCTTTTTCGTCGCCTGTAAAGGGAGCGCCTGTCTCTTTCTATTTTACATCTACTCCTCCTTTTTCTTAGAGGAATAAGCTTTGTGCATACATCGAGTGCCACCAGGTTAATCTGTTCTAGGCATACGTTGGGGTCTGTGTTGCTTAGTATATCTTCCCAGCTTATATCGGTTAGGACTTGGTTTACTTGGTCCCACTTTATGTTTTTGTTATTGAAGTTGAATTTGGTGATGCTCCCTCGTGACTAGTCTCATTATGTCGGTCTGGGGCTCCACGCATACATGTCTGAACCTCAATTATGTTGTGATCTGAGTATATTGTTTTTGATATGGTGACATTTCTTATCAGATCATCATTATTAGTATTGTTAGTATGGTTGAATTTAGACTTATAATCAAAACCAAGCGCTAAACCCACCAGGGTCATACAGCGTTGCCTGGATTTAGACAGGCTTAAATAGTTGAGCTATATAAAGTTGGTAGTCAGGGTATTTTTTTTCCAGAAAGGTTGGTAATATATCACTATGTGGAAAAAGACGCTTATGTACAGTTCAGGACATTTATTAAAGGAAACGTTTCGCCACGAGTGGCTTCTTCAGTCCATTAGGACTGAAGAAGCCACTCGTGGCGAAACGTTTCCTTTAATAAATGTCCTGAACTGTACATAAGTGTCTTTTTCCACATCTTGTCGGTATCACCATACCATTTCCTCATATCACTATGGATAAAATACTTAGATAATTCTTGAAGCAAAAAAGTGAGCGTCCCATAATTCATTTTTTCCGCATTCCAGCACATAATGAGGCAGGGTGTAACAATAATTCCTCAGGTAAAGTTTACATTTAGTTATGTCTGCATTAACTGATAGTGCAACCTCAGACGTACTTGCAGCTTAACCCAGGATTGAGTTAGTACTGGTACTCGCTTACAAGAAATATCTCGATGACTAGGAGGCACATCTATTTCTTGTTTTGACGTCGACAAGGGTCGAAAATTCATGTTTTTTTCGACATATATATAGACATATTAGAATATTTTAAATCAAGCTATCTTACCGAGGCATGAAGAAGAGCTAAGGAAGGTCACCCTAACTAGCCATGTTACCCCAATTCTAAGCCTGGGTCACCCCGAGTGAAAAGCACTGGCTTGAAGTACATTGTAAGAGTATTTATACTACCATACTGGCTTTCATTTCTTCAAGTAGGTACTCCATAACCTGAGATTAAATATTAACTGAATGAATCTTGGCCACAACAGTTCTACATATTTTACATTTAACTTAATTTCATTCTCCAAGAGTCTTTCCTCGTATTTTTTTTAGTTATTCTTTTTTAGTTAGCTGTACTCTTTATAAAAAATATACAACGTGTGTACACAGGGAACACAACTTCAAAATCTTCGTAATAAGTGTATGTGAAGATAAAGTTCTCCTTCCTCAGCAAGCTATCTTTGATTTATTCTACCCCAGTGGGTTCGTTTTCTCGTGTATTTTGCTTCCTCGTAGCCAATACATTGTAAGCAAAAATTTTAAATTACACGATGTGCCTGGTGTAAGTAGAAATTTGTACAGATTACATGATGTGCCTGGCGTGAGCAATGTATATGTACATTATACACCGCATAGGAAATATGGGAAAGTATTGACTTGAGCCAAGGGAGGAAAGCAGCCCCAGTTCTTTGGATCAAGAGCCCTTCCCCGGCATCAAAGTGTGGGTGTCTGGTATGAGAAGTATATCTTCATGGGGTTAACATATCATGGAGGCGAGTATAGCATCATGGGGTGAAGAGTGTAACATCATGGGGTAAGAGTGTAACATCATGGGGTGAAGGGTAGCATCATGGGGTAAAGTGTTTATCTTAGAGAGATGCTGGTGGGAGGCTGGAGGTTGCAGCTGGCGCCAAGCATGGTAAATATTAGCTTGCTGCTTCAACCAAAATTAGAAACATTATGGAGCAACAGCTGCCCGTCATTGATGCGTTATGATGCCTGCCAAGTGTGACCTCGCTTCACTCCCAGTCGAAACTCTCAACGTAACCCACACTAGCTATTAATATTTGGCAGTGCCACTCATCCTGCGAGATGAATAACAGCCGCAAAATTATAATCATGGGGAGCGGTAAACTCGTAGGATTATTCAACGCATGTTAGGGAGATGGAAGGTATTCAGGCTCAATTCAGGGATGTGTGTGTGATGAATGGTTTGAAAAACCGACAAGTTGAAGATTGAGACACTTATGCAGCATATAGGAATCTTTATTCAGGAAACGTTTCGCCACACAGTGGCCTCATCAGTCCAATACAAAAAGGAAGGCGTAAGGAGAGGAGGAGTATGAGGTAATCAGTCCCTCAGCCTGGAGTCGATGTGTTCAGTCCATCAATTCTACAAGATTGATGGACTGAACACATCGACTCCAGGCTGAGGGACTGATTACCTCATACTCCTCCTCTCCTTACGCCTTCCTCTTTGTATTGGACTGATGAGGCCACTGTGTGGCGAAACGTTTCCTGAATAAAGATTCCTATATGCTGCATAAGTGTCTCAATCTTCAACCTCAATTCAGGGAACTGGAGCACAGATCCAATTCCTTAGATCAAGAGCCCCCTCATTAGCGTCAAGGAACCTCCCTTGAGGGGAACCGCCGCAAAAGACTATTACACTCCGGCTCATCCTATGAGTGAACACACCGCCATGTAGACAGTATTTGGCAGTCACTTATTTTGTGAGGGATTATTATCAAAACTAAGCGCTAAACCCACAGGGGGTCATACAGCGCTGACAATATTGGGCAGTCATTCATCACAATTGATCTTCTCTAATTTCACTAATTACTGAATATTTGTTTAAAATAGTAGCATGATCTTTAGCACTCAGAATGTATGAAATTTGCATCATCACGGTGCCCCGTGGCTAAAGCTCTCGCTTCACACGGCGAGGGTCCGCGTTAGATTCCTAGCGAAGGTAGAAACATTGGGCGTATTTCTTTACGCCGGTTGTCTCCGTTCCCATCAGTAAAATGGGAATCTAGGAGTTAGTCGACTGGTGTGGGTCGCATCCTAATTTGCCCGAAATGCTCTGCATAACAAGCGACTTTCTATATAGTATGTCACTGATGCCAGCTAGGCCTGTATACCTTGTACATATACGTACTAGTAGAAATGAAGATATACGTAGGGTTGATTATCGTTATTATAATCAAATAAAGCGCTAAACATAGGATTGATATTAATGGTCCACCACTGTGTAATATTATTATGAGCGATATTAGCCTATTATTACAATTTTGCATTAGTTCATCCGTCATCGCCTTGCTGTTTTTGATACTGTAAAGTACCCAGTCAATGACTTTACCAGCCATTAGAAAAATCTGTATTTTAACATGAGTGCTTTTGATTTCCTTACAGATATTAAAAAAATTAAGTTTTTGCATGTTGCATCAAGTTCTTTCAGTGCTAGATTTATTTTGTCACATAAGGATCGAAGCAGTTTTTCTACATGAATCAACAATTGATTTTGTGTGGATAGTTAATAGCCTATCTTGTCAACGAGATCGCTATAGCTGCAGTCACATCCATCACCAGTCAAGATTACTTTAACCATGAAGATAGGGATTACAATCAACTCTTCCCAAGTGTTTATACAGTGAGACTAATCTTTTGGTATATATAATCCTGTCGTATTCAACATAGGACTGAGGACACCTCTTTGGGGTCTGCCCAGTTCTAGTCTGTGCACTTTCACTTTTTTGCACTGAAACAATCTTACTTTTTAAAAGGTATTCTTTAGCCAACATTAATAATTTGTCTAACTTTCATCTCTTTAATTCGTCGCATTATGCCTGCGCTTCGAATTTTGTCAAAAGTCCTTATGAATTAGGCGATACTGAATAATGTGCCTTGTTTGCAAGAAAGGTCTTGATGCAGTGTTTAGTGTTTCAGCCCCTTTTTAAACATTAATCAGGAACAAGAGTATATGCAAAAGTAATTTTCTCCTGCTTGATTTGGTTTTTCATTACTCTATTTCTCAATATTTCCTATGTTCTCTGATTAATGTGTATGGAGTTCCCAAGAACACCCTCCCTAGTTTTTTTTTTTTTTACCTTCCCTTTCTCTTGATCTTCACCGTCCTCATTCATGCCTTCCCTCCTTACCCTTGAGGGAGAGGGTACGAGGTGTGGTAGTGATCTTGCAGTGATGTATCTCTCCCTGCAGGCGCTGAGTCATGGTATGCGAGGCGCCCAGGGCCAGGTCACTGCTGGTCAGCAAGAAGGGCAGCTTTCTCGAGGACCCCTTCTTCAGGGATGCCTGGGGCGACTACAACAATGCCGTCAGGAGGATCGTCGATAGGTACACCTCGTTATGACCCACACTGCTCCTGTTCTGCTTACCTTACTAACCACAACCCAAACTACTCACCTGCATGCCTCACTAACACATACATTGCATGTGTCAGGCTGCTTTCGAATACGGACCTTGATTGTATCTAAAGAATGCGATGTGACCAAGAATGATTCCAAAGTCGTGACGAGCCATGTCAGTATCAGCCTTAGCCAAGATTGTACAATTATCGTTGTTAGGCAGAAAAATAGCTATACCTGAAATATCGCCAATTATTTCACAGTAGCCTACAGTGTTATGTTATACACAACAAGACGAAACCTAAAAATACAAATCGTAAGGCTTATAAATATGTTTAGGGTCTCTATTCAATTAGTATGTAAATTCTCAAATATTAAGTGGGTTATGCAATACACATTTATATACTGGGCCTTTTAGATTTTTTTTTTTTTGGGGGGGGGGAGTAGGGAGGTAACACAACATAATCTAATCTAGAATTTAACTCTTAATCAAGGTTGTTAGATTTTTTGATAAAAAAAATTACCCATAGACCAAAAATATAATTGTCTTCATTTTACAACATATTTAATATTGGAGAATTTATATAAGTTATCGCTAAACTCTAAATGAAGCCATTAAATATTTTTTACCCAAAAATGAGTAACTTTACCAATCACTGATACACACGTAAATCAGTGTACAACGGTTCTACTGCAGCCAGCTCCATAATGTTGAATGTGTGTGTGTGTGTGTGTGTGTGTGTGTGTGTGTGTGTTGCAGCTTTGGACGAGGTTAGACAAGAGACAGGCACCGTGCCAGTCCGGTGTCTGGCACGTTACTCAACCACCACCATTACCGAACTTGTATTCTATCAGTTTATCATATACGAGCAGAGATCAAGAGACTAGTAGAATTAAGGTACTTTCCTTAGATATTTTGAACAACTGAAGTCCTGTTGTCTTGAAGCCACCGGATATTCCTCATAACCCACATCTTATTACATAATACATTTTATTAATAAAAATATTCTTGGAAATGCGCCATGATCCTCCATGGCAGCTTGACAAATCTACCACGTCAGTTCATGGATGCAGAGTATTTCCTAAAGCACATTCTCGAGTCCATCCTTAGATGCATAACCGTCTTCACGTTTACTCTGATGATATATAGTTCAAGTGACGGACTAGCGAACGCATGAACGCCGTTCTAGATTCGTTCATCTGAAAAAGAAATGTAAAATTACTTTGAAGCCGTTGTTGATACAACAAATAACCCTCCTACGCACCAAGATTTCCATTCTAAAGACAATAGTATTTTTTTAAGATGATAATCTGGAATATGTGCGAAATAAATCATATTTGTGGGTAGTAAACCTTACTCGTCGGCAGTAAATATTACTTGTGGGCAGCATACCTTACTTGTTGGCAATACACTACGCCATACTCTTCCACACACGAGGTACAGTGATCAAATTTACTGGAAAATATTCTATACAAACGTTTAAGACTTTAAACAAATAATTCCATTCCATCAATGGCTCCCAAAGCAGTGTCCTCTTAGGGTATAAAATAGTCAGCATGATCTAATATCTTAGTCGCCACTGATATCAGGGCTGCACTGTTGCATATCTCTGGATTATAGAAAATATTTGACTGGTTAACTGCATACTAAGGGGCTTTCTGCATGTACACCTAAATGTCACCCATCTCTGTATAAACATTGTACTAAAGCCTATCGACACAAAGGTCATTAAGGCTGCATGTCACATGACATAAATACTTGAATCCCAAGTATATAAATTTCTTTTATATACATGCTCTGTTCAAGTCAGCTCATAATGGGGTTACAATTTAAGCCTATCGACTACCGTACACTAGGGTCAACAAGGTTGCATGTAATCTTAACACTAGCAGCATACGGATATACGAAGGTTAGGTTTAGTAAGATTTGTCTGGAAGCAGGCACATAGTCGGTTAGGTTAGGTAAGAATTATCAGGAAACAGGACAAGAGTTTCCTGACGCGGGTGTTGGTCATATGATGATCCGCCACGGGAATTTTTGGTCATCTGACCGAGGCCTTCCACTGACTTACCCCTCCACCCTTTTAAAAATTCACAATTGCATTTACTTTGGAAAATAAAATTGAGAATGTTGCGCTTTTCCTCATATAGTGTGTCATTTTGTTATTAGTGTTATTTATATTTACAGGGTATTACTATTATTGTCCTTATTATCGTGAGGAGGTTCTAACGCCATAGGGAAAATACAGCGCTTAGATAATGGGATGTAATTAAGTTTGATCCGAGGAAAGGGAAGAGCAATTATAATTTCTTCGATCAGGAGCTCTCTGCTGATGAAGATCTCAAAGTAGGAATGAAAATATTCAGTTCTATTTTTATTCCAAGCTAAAAAAAAAAGATGTTACATACAAATGTGGAATTACACACCATTTTCGTGTTTAGTTTACTTTCTTTTGTGCAACAGATGGCGCACACAGCGATTTTTTTTAATGTGTAGAAAGTAACAGATTTGTTTGAATTATTATCCCAGCTGGTTAATAACCCAGGATAACCTAATAATCCGAATATAAGAATGAAGGAACACTGCAGCAGGCATACTGGCCCATGCTAGGCAAGTCAGATTCACAGATTCATGTGGATATTTAAAACTACCGAAAGTTCTTGCCTTAAGACGCTACCTGGGAGTCTGTTCCACTGAAGGGAGTCGGGGAAACCGGTTAGCCGGACTTGAATCCTGGAGGTGGGAAGAGCAGTACCTGCACTCTGGAAGGGCGGGGATATCTGCAGTTTGGAAAGACATTTGAACTCCAGGTAGTATCTGCGCTTCTTTGGCAAGATAGTGATAATGAATGATGGTGAAAGTGTTTTTTTCAGGTCATTCTGCCTCGGTGGGAGACTTCCAGATCCCGAATCTGGCTGAGTGGCGAAAGTAATGTGCACTTTGATACAGTATGAAGGTTCGAATCCCGCTGTGGACTGAGATAATGACTGATTTTATATATATATATATATATATATATATATATATATATATATATATATATATATATATAATATTATATTATATATATAATATATATATATATATATAATATATATATATATATATATATATATATATATATTTATATATATATATAAATGTCGTGCCGAATAAGTAAAATTGGTCAATTAGAAAGAACTCGTTTAAAATTAAGTCCTTTCTAAAATTTTCTTATACCTGGAGTTTACCTGGAGAGAGTTCCGGGGATCAACGGTCTGACCAGGTCTCATGGTGGATCAGGGCCTGATCAACCAGGCTGTTACTGCTGGCTGCACGCAATCCAACGTACGAACCACAGCCCGGCTGGTCAGGTACCGACTTTAGGTGCTTGTCCAGTGCCTGCTTGAAGACAGCCAGGGGTCTATTGCTAATCCCCCTTATACGTTTAAAGATATGGGCCAAGCCCATGATGACACTCTTCAGGTCACTTGTTCTATCTAGCCTGGAATATTGCTGCACACTAACAGCACCTTTCAAGGCAGGTGAAATTGCTGACCTAGAAAATGTACAGAGAACCTTCACGGCGCGCATAACGGAGATAAAACACCTCAATTACTGGGAGCGCTTGAAGTTCCTAAAACTGTATTCCCTGGAACGCAGGCGGGAGAGATACATGATTATATACACCTGGAAAATCCTAGAGGGACTAGTACCGAACTTGCACACGAAAATCACTCACTACGAAAGCAAAAAACTTGGCAGACGATGCAACATCCCCCCAATGAAAAACAGGGGTGTCACTAGCACGTTAAGAGACCATGCAATAAGTGTCAGGGGCCCGAGCCTGTTCAACTACCTCCCAGCATACATAAGGGGGATTACCAACAGACCCCTGGCAGTCTTCAAGCTGGCACTGGACAAGCACCTAAAGTCGGTTCCTGACCAGCCGGGCTGTGGCTCGTATGTTGGTTTGCGTGCAGCCAGCAGCAACAGCCTGGTTGATCAGGCTCTGATCCACCAGGAGGCCTGGTCACAGACCGGGCCGCGGGGGCGTTGACCCTCGGAACTCTCTCCAGGTAAACTCCAGGTAATGCAAAAATTAATTATTTTGTACCAAAAGAACCTTAGAAAACTAACCTAGCCTTATAACAAGCGCAATTTAATTTAGCCTAATCCAACCAAATATATTTTAGACAAGTTTACAATAATTTAATGATAAACACAATGAAGTGTATTTTTTTCGTTACTTCCCCAGCATGTAATATATATATATATATATATATATATATATATATATATATATATATATATATATATATATATATATATATATATTAGTTTTAGTGGCAAGTTATGGTCCACAGGTTCAACCATGGGGGAATGTTCGCACCGCGTGACAGATTGCGAGATTCTCACTACCACTCCATGTACCGCACACTGCGCTCAGCACGCATCAACTATGCGGCCCAGGCTGCCAGGTTCAAGGACGAGGGTACTGTTTATAAGGTACGTACCATCACTTGTGTCCCACCATCACCTGCGCCTATGTCTGTGTCCCTCATATTGCTACTATTTTCCACAATTCTTAACCATTTATTATTATCTAGTATGTAAACGTATTACCACCTAACTGACTGGTCAAGAAATCAACTGGTTGAGATTACTGAACCCAGAGATCCAGTAATTAAATTTAAGCTGACCCAGACTGACCCTGCCTGTATTATCAGTGTAATGATAGGATGGTGAGGATAGTTCACTGAATGATAGGGAGGAAGCTCAGGATAGCTCACTGAATGATAGGGAGGAAGCTGAGGATAGCTCACTGAATGATAGGGAGGAAGCTGAGGATAGCTCACTGAATGATAGGGAGGAAGCTGAGGATAGCTCACTGAATGATCGGGAACCATGGAGAAAGCTGATATCCGTGGAACGAGCATCTTTAATCCAGCCCATTTATACTCTAAGGGGATGATTAATATACAGTACATACTGACAGATTATAAACCATACATCTTGTACGTTATTTTAACGAGGAAGGAACTAACAACAACCCTTGCGGCTTAGATTAAATAATTAAGACAGGTAAAGTTAGAGGCTGAAGCTGTTAGAGAGGGTGACACGGACAAGAAATGCAGTACGAAGGTGTAGTTTGATGATCCTAGTACCTAGGGCTGGGCTAATATAGTTGAGCACTTGTTTTGAGCTATCAGTCGGTTATTACATAAATTATCCAGTATTTAGTGGCTTGTACAATAAAGGCAGTTATATTCTGGGCCAATTTTTTTATTAAATGTAATCAATTTATCGCAACCTAATGTGATTTAACTTATATTAAGAATTACATTTTAGGTAAAATTGCTTCCTGCACACCCTATACTGTCACATTGCTTCCTGCACACCCTCCCTCTACAGTACTTCCTGCATACCGTCTCTCTACACTGCTTCCTGCACACCCTCTCCCCCTTGCTTTGTTATATTATCACTGAAGTTGTAGTCCACATGTGGAATATCTTTCAACATTGATAATTTTGTTATATTCCCATGTAACTACTTAATACCATCTCTTACCATGATAGCTTGTGATGGACGTGCGGGAATTTGTGGGTGGTGATGTGACGGTACGTACCGCGGGAGGTACACTGTCAGTGCGTGGGAGGCTGGAGGTGGGTGCTGACAGCGATAGTACCTCTACCTCGTCCAAGACATCCTCAGCTCGCACTCTACACCGTCGCTTTAACCTCCCTCCGGACGCTGACGGAGAGAAAGTAGAGTCCATCCTCTCCCGGGATGCTGTCCTCACAGTTACTATTCCTAAAAGAGTGAGTCTGCTTCTTTTATTATGTTTAATTGATAAGCGCTAAATCTTGGTCATACAGCGCTTGGGGAATTGGTAATAATCAGGTTTGATCCCAGGGAGGGGAGTGTACCTACAATTTGTTGGATCAAGACTCCTTCATCAAGGCAACCAATCCATTTAGGTGTCTAAAGCCTGTACTACAAAAGTACGTAACCTGTCTAGAATACTTTAATACTTAAAATAATGATTATAATCATAATAAGCGCTAAACCCACTAGCATGAAAATAATGATTAAAACTCTCAACATGTATACACACTTAACCACACAACATATTACTAGACAACAAGCAGTTCAGTTATTATTATAGAAGCCGTTCCACCTTTCATAGAGAGAATTGGAAGGTTACAACCGAGGAAAATAAATTAATTTCACATGCAGTGCTGAATTACATGTACAGGTAATAATTTCGCCGATTCAGATAATCCGCAGTCAGAGGAAGATTTAGGCTACGTTACGGTCTGTATTACTTCATTATTAAGTCACAATTTCTGACTTAATGGTCCCCAACTGTGTGTTACTTGTGAACTGTTCCAGCCACAATATATTGTGGGTTAGTTGCACATTGTTCCAGTAACGGAAATGTGACTTTTATTCTTCAGTCATTTGACTGTACACAAAGTAAGTCTTAAATCAAGGGTATACAATACGATTAGACATGTGCAACACTTGGGAATTTCAATGAGATACCCAGGTGGTGCACATGCATCTTATTTGCCATTCGAAAAGACTAGACTTAGAATGGAAAGTTAGAGAATTTAAATTTCTCAATTTTCTTAAACCATCATTCAGTGTTTCTGTGATGTCTATAATATTTATATAGCAATTGCATTTATATTGTATATTCTTAGTATCAAATACAGTACTTGATAGATGGAGACCGTTAGCGAAATGTGATGTTGACAGTGAAAGACACAATGCAGAGGGAGGAGTCCTTGTACAAAGTTTCACCCAACTCTGGGTTTTCTCAATAGTTGCTTGGTAAAACGTTGTACGTATAAGACACCTGAGAATTTATCTTTATCACCCTACACTCTGGACCTGCTGTACACAACCTTGTTGTAGCGGCTGTAAATCATATTACTGAAGCTTATTAATGTTTGTTGTCTTTTGCTTCCGGGAAGAATGTGTCAGCTTGTAGTTAATAATGTTACTCTTGACAGACTGATGTGCGAGTGATTCCTGTAACTGTGGAGGGTGATGCAGCAGCGGGTAATAGGAGTGCCACTAAGCGGCATTCTGCCACTCAGCCTGACCCGGGACCAACACCCAGCAAGAGACCACAAGACCACCACACTCACACACACAAAGACCAATACTCGGCGCCCAGAGACAGAAGTACAAGCAGGGGCAGACAAACCTTTGGATTGACTTCGAGCAGAGAAAGGGATCAAAGCCTTGATAATGAGAGGAAGAGCAGAAGAGAAAAAGAAGATGAATTACTGTGGTCTAAAGACAGAACGAGTAGAAGAGGAAGCGATACATTCACAGGTGGAGGCAGCAGAGATGACAACCTTGAATACAGAAGGAAAAGTTACCCTGAGGGTGCACTAAGAGCGGCCCACCATGACATCGCTGATAATGTTAGCGGCAGCAGAAGAAGGAACAGAGACATAGAAGAAGAGGAGCTAGAAAATAAAGCCAGTCACAGGAACCGCAGAACTTCCAAATATGAAGAAGCAAAGGAAATCAGCATCCCAATCCGTATTGAGCATTTAGATGACACTGAGAAGGTTGGCCAGTATCCCGTTGCTACCACCGAGGCTGACAAAGGTATAACAACTGCATCACAAAGTATAAACATGCACGATAAGATGCGTTCCCAAGAAAAAGAAAAACAGCGACCAGTGGTGCGTGAGGAGGTAAACAAAGAGACGTCAAAACCCTCTGGCAAGAGTAGCTACACTTTCCCCACAGACAAGTCCACTATTAACAAGGTTTGCGAGAAGGAAAACATCAAACCGCCTGAAGGTGATGTCTGCTGGACATATTCTAATGCATACATAAGCAATTCTCGAGCTGATGACAATAGCCGCGAAAAGCAGCTAAATGGAACCAGAATACCTGGATGTAAAGAGAAGTCTAACTATAAGACATATAAGAGCCAGGAGGAGCCGGAGGTGCAGGTGCTGACCCCGGACACCACAGTGTCATCTGATGCTGAGAATAACACTCAAGACAAGAAGCAGAAACATAAAGACAGTATTGAGGACCAAGATGTGTTGCACAAGCAAAGCAGATGGATGAAAGGCAGAAAGAAAGAGCAGTTAAGAGTAACTATTTGGGAAATACTTCCAGAGACTCAGAATCTTGTGAGGGTCGAAGCAAGTCTCCTTTTGGAGGTCGTGAAGTGAAAGTTGAGAAGAAACAATCGGACATGGAGGGTGACATGTTCAAGGACTGTTGGCAGAACTTCAGCAGCACATTACAGGAAGTGCTAGCTCGTTTACAAGAGTTGTCATCTGAGCTGGGACAGCCTAAAACTCACACGAAGACATCACCGCCTTCCTCGGCAGATGTCCTCACTGAAAGGCACAAACAAGCATCACACAGCACTTCCCAGTTGCCAACCAGTACCCAGGTTAGTTCCCACGTTCCTCTTTCTACATCTATTTATAGTCTAGATGCTCTTTGGAGAGGATTTCACTCTAGTTTTTTATATTTTTTTCTAGTTTCAAGAAAGAAATATGGAAAATGCATCAGTCACATTTCATGCTGTGATCGGTAGCTCTAACAGCAATTCCAGAGATCACGTACATAGGTCTTGATCAGACCCCCACCACAACAGCTATACTTTCATATTTTACACTTTTAATACATTACTGTCATCAATATGGTAAAGTAACCAGGAGACATTAATATGGAGGCGCACGACTAGTGTGTACTCAATGAGTTGTCTTTGTGGGGATCGAGTCTTAGTTGTCCCGCCTCACACTACAATCGCCGGCATTATTGGTTCCTGGCCTCGTGGGCCCTATCATATCTACTCTTGAAACTGTGTATTTAGTGTGCTCTGCCACTTTGTCATTAGCTCATTCCATTTATTTACCACCCTTATATTAAAAAAAAAAAAACAAGTGTTTCCTAACATCCCTGCGGCTCCTTTGCGTCATTTTTCATCCATGACCCCCTCGACCCTTTGCCACTAAATTTAAAAGGTCTGTTTCTGTTTACTCTGTCAAAGCCTCCAGTATCTTATGTCGTAATCATATTTCTCTTAATCCTTCTTTAGACTTTTAAAGTCATCAGGTTCGATTCCTCTAGTCTTTTCAAAACTCAATCTCATCAACTCTGAGACCAGTTTTGTTGCAAACCTTTGGACCTGGTCTAGTTTTTCTGCGAGGGCTCCCTGCTGGTGCCTAACATATGTCATGTAGAGTCCTAAACGATTATTTAGGTTTCTGTAAGCGTGCGTGTGTGCTCGAGTGTCGGCCTGACATCAAGGAGACCAGCATAGTGCAACTCCACCTTATTATGGGGAAGCTGTAAACCCATAGGTGTCATGCAGCGCCCAGAGAATGTGAGGTAATCAGTTTTGAAGATTTGATTTCATGGATCAAGAGCCATTCACCATCTAGGATTCCTCTGAAGGGTCAACTAGTAATACTAGGCCAATCCTTCCCTCTGAAGGGCTCTGTAACATAGTCTACCCCTTCCCCTGAAGATCTAGTAGACACTACCCCTTCCCCTGAAGGGTTTACTAGTAAACTAGGCCACCCCTCCCTCTTGAAGGGTCTACTAGTAACACTAGTCTACCCCCTTCCCTCTGAAGGATCTAGTAACACTACCCCTTCCCTCTGAAGGGTCTACTAGTAACACTAGGCCACCCCCTCCCTCTGAAGGGTCTACTAGTAACACTAGTCTACCCCCTTCCCTCTGAAGGATCTAGTAACACTACCCCTTCCCTCTGAAGGGTTTACTAGTAACACTAGGCCATCCCCTCCCTGTGAAGGGTCTACTAGTAACGATAGCCTACCCCTCTGAATGGTCTACTAGTAACACTAGTCTGCCCCTTCTGAAGGGTCTACTAGTAACGCTAGTCTACCCCTGAATGGTCTACTAGTAACACTAGTCTGCCCCCTCTGAAGGGTCTACTAGTAACACTAGTCTACCCCCTTCCCTCTGAAGGATCTAGTAACACTACCCCTTCCCTCTGAAGGGTTTACTAGTAACACTAGGCCACCCCCTCCCTCTGAAGGGTCTACTAGTAACGCTAGTCTACCCCTGTGAATGGTCTACTAGTAATACTAGTCTGCCCCCTCTGAAGGGTCTACTAGTAACACTAGACCTACTCCCTCTGAAGGATTTACTAGTAGCACTAGTCTACCCCCTGAGGTGTCTGCCTAAACACTAGACCTACTCCCTCTGAAGGATTTACTAGTAGCACTAGTCTACCCCCTCTGAAGGTGTCTGCCATAGTAACACTAGACCTACTCCCTCTGAAGGATTTACTAGTAGCACTAGTTTACCCCCTCTGAAGGAGCCTGCTATAGTAACCCTAGTGTACCCCTCCCTGGTCTACAAGTAACACTAGTCTACCTCCTCCCTCTAAATGAGTCTTATTATAGTAACACTAGGCTACCCTCTCCTAAAGCGTCTATTAGGAACACTCGCTAAATTACTATATTCAAAATACACCACTAAACCCGCCAAAGAATGCAACTTTTTTCAGTCTGCTTGTCCATTTCGTTTTTGAATGAAATTTGCTAATCAAAAAAAAAATCTGAACTGTTTGTCAAGTGTCCTTTGTTTTCATAACGTCTTCTCTAAGTTTTTTCCTCCAGCCTTAATGCAGTACTTATCAGCGAGACGGATTTATAGTTCAGGGCATCCTCCCTCTCGCTTTTTTTAATACCGGCAGAGAGAGAGAGAGAGAGAGAGAGAGAGAGAGAGAGAGAGAGAGAGAGAGAGAGAGAGAGAGAGAGACAGACAGACAGACAGACAGACAGACAGACAGACTCTGACTCAAATCAAGCCAAGCCAAGACAAAGTTTGGGAGGCAGTCAGGGGTGAGTTTAGTCACCCGTGTTCCAAGTAAGACTTTACAGAAAGGCAAATGGCTAATATCTAAATCTTAATACATGGTACCCCGTACTCTTACACTGATTTCCTCGTGACGCAGGACACCAGAGATAAAGATTTCGGCCCAGCTAGGATATAACAGTATGGTTTTGAGCCTCACTTCAAGCATGAAGTATTAAGGTTGTAAAATAATTATTTGTAGTGTTTGAGCATATACTGTATGCATGTGTTCTCAGGCTGAGAGAGCTTCAGGTCGTTGAAGAGCGCATCCAACTATCTGAAGGAACTTAGAAAAAGATTCATCAAGGCAACTAAGGATCCAGAGCAACCAGTTTTGTGTTAGTGTCTCAGTTCAGAGGGTTAATGCCTGTTGTATTTTAAGCACTTTGTGCCCCAGCTCTTAGGACATGAAGTATTTGATATGTGATTTACAAACACATCTATGTACTTGTATCCCTGGAGTTTACCTGGAGTGTTCCGGGGGTGAACGCCCCCGCGGCCCGGTCTGCGACCAGGCCTCCTGGTGGATCAGAGCCTGATCAACCAGGCTGTTACTGCTGGCTGCACGCAAACCAACGTACGAGCCACAGCCCGGCTGGTCAGGTACCGACTTTAGGTGCTTGTCCAGTGCCAGCTTGAAGACTACCAGGGGTCTATTGGTAATCCCCCTTATGTATGCTAGGAGGCAGTTGAACAGTCTCGGGCTCTTGACACTTATTGTATGGTCTCTTAACGTGCTAGTGACACCCCTGCTTTTCATTGGGGGGATGATGCATCGTCTGCCAAGTCTTTTGCTTTCGTTGTGAGTGATTTTCGTGTGCAAGTTCGGTACTAGTCCCTCTAGGATTTTCCAGGTGTATATAATCGTGTATCTCTCCCGCCTGCGTTCCAGGGAATACAGGTTTAGGAACCTCAAGCGCTCCCAGTAATTGAGGTGTTTTATCTCCGTTGTGCGCGCCGGGAAGGTTCTCTCTACATTTTCTAGGTCAGCAATTTCACCTGCCTTGAAAGGTGCCGTTAGTGTGCAGCAATATTCCAGCCTAGATAGAACAAGTGACCTGAAAAGTGTCATCATGGGCTTGGCATCCCTAGTTTTGAAGGTTCTCATTATCCATCCTGTCATTTTTCTAGCAGATGCGATTGATACAATGTTATGGTCCTTGAAGGTGAGATCCTCCGACATGATCACTCCCAGGTCTTTGACGTTGGTGTTTCGCTCTATTTTGTGGCCAGAATTTGTTTTGTACTCTGATGAAGATTTAATTTCCTCGTGTTTACCATATCTGAGTAATTGAAATTTCTCATCGTTGAACTTCATATTGTTTTCTGCAGCCCATTGAAAGATTTGGTTGATGTCCGCCTGGAGCCTTGCAGTGTCTGCAATGGAAGACACTGTCATGCAGATTCGGGTGTCATCTGCAAAGGAAGACACGGTGCTGTAACTGACATCCTTGTCTATGTCGGATATGAGGATGAGAAACAAGATGGGAGCGAGTACTGTGTCTTGTGGAACAGAGCTTTTCACCGTAGCTGCCTCGGACTTTACTCTGTTGACTACTACTCTTTGTGTTCTGTTTGTGAGGAAATTATAGATCCATCTACCAACTTTTCCTGTTATTCCTTTAGCACGCATTTTATGCGCTATTACGCCATGGTCACACTTGTCGAAGGCTTTTGCGAAGTCTGTATATATTACATCTGCATTATTTTTTGTCTTCTAGTGCATCTAGCCTTTAGCATCGAGCCTTTTGTATTTTATAACCTAACATCTTTGTACCATCAACATATCCTTCAAATTATGTCCATCATATTACATAATAAAGTATACATATATGTACATTTATAAAAGAGAAGGTGGTAAGACCAGAATATTTCAACAGCCTCAAGGAAATTTTTTTAGTATTTCCCCTCAGCCTTTTTTATCTACTCCGAGGCTATGGATCCTGGGTCCTCAGTTGCACTCGTGTGTGTGTGTGTGTGTACATTATATATAATAATATTACAATATATAATATATAATATATATATATATATATATTATATATATATATATATATATATATAAAGTGCATGTGATGAGGATCCACAGTCTCGAATAAATAAATAAAATAGCTTCCAAGGAAAAATCTTAAGCTTTCTTCTTTTAGCTGTCTGAATGTTTCTTCTACCACATTTTTTAAGCTAAGTATATATTTAATTGGCACAGACATGTATGCATTATAGCAGTATTTTAAAATAAATTGTGAATTTCCTCCAGCTCCTCAGCAGCTGGACGGGAATCATGAATACAAAAAGCATTCCCAATCAGGATGACCACACTGAGACTGTAACAGGAGGGTGGCAGCCCTCGGGTATCTAGTATTGTTGATGAATGTACAACCCAGCTCACTGAGGAAGCATGTTGCACGTTTGCCAAGTGTCCCCAAGGGTTTCTGGTCCTAATGGGACAAAGTGGTACTGATGGCCACCTGATAACCATGTTCATATGCTTTAACACACCCTTCAAGGGAGGTTCCTTGATGCTGGTGAGATTTTTGAGCCAAGAAATTGAGTTTATTA